TTGAACTCGAGAGAGATCATTATTCTTTACTAAGGTTTTAGAAGTAAGTATTTACAAAAAATTTGATCAACATTGGCTCTCATAAATACAAAGATAAACAACAGTGTTGAATAAAAGAAAAGAGTAGAAATATTTTGTGTGCGTGTGTGTGTGTATTTTAGATTTAGACTACAAATGGAGTGCACACATGTACACACGCATTGGTTTCTACCAAGAAGCTGATGTCAGCTTCCTCATATTGAAAGGGTGTATTGAAATTTCATACAAGTGTAAGCAAATAACTGAGCTATCTAAGTTAATTGCTCATTTATTTATTGACTTAAAAGTAACAATATTTTCTAATGCCATGCCTTATTCTCTGTAGGTACCAGAGGACAAACCAATTTTGACAGATGATTCAAAGTATGTGAAAGTTTCAAAGGACCTTGACTTCACACAGAAATCATCTGGATTCAGTCTTTTGGCACAGTTTGGAGAACTTAAGGATGAAGGTTTGTACTCCATTATTTCTTCATTTTTTTGTTACACGTCATTCTGAAGGGGCCCATCTTGAGGGGAGGGGGGAATCCAATCTGTCCAACCACAGCATAGAGCTTTTCTTCCATAATATGGTCTTTACACCATGGTGGCTGGATGCAATTGCAGGACTTAAGGCAAAAAATAGCACCAAGTCTCATTAGTAAATAAGAATTAAGAAAAAGCATTGATTGCCAAAATGGATACTCTAATAGTTTCTCCAATATTTTTTTTTATGAAAAACTGATGATATTTTAACAGTTTGTTATTTCAGTAATTTTTCTTTTTCATCAGGTCAGTACCTATTGCAGTGAAGAGTGCACCAAGGCCCTTCATTTTTTTTGTATTAAAGACTTTCAGATAACAGAGAGGAGCTCAACTCCCTTAACCCTTTGCCCCTGGAAGATCTGTACAGTAGTTCACATCATGGCTGATGTGGTCATGATGCCATGTATTTTCCAGTATGGCCAAGGTGATTGCAACTGTAGAATTCGGTCATTCATGTCATGCTACTTTGGTGCATGCATTACATATTATGCTATTCTTTTTATGATATCCTCATGCCTACACGTCACATTCCTAGGGGCATTGACTGAGGGAGAGCAGGACATGTAATACCTTGATTGGCAATTGTTTTGTGTAAAAGTGGGATATATAGCTCATGAACTTTTCACCTGCTATTCCTGGAAGATGTCACCCACCAAGAAATTGCAATCTCTAAGTGCTGCTGTAAACCTGTAAGTAATCTTCACTCTAGGTTACATGACCAGTCTCCTCATGTCAGCAATTCATGTTGTCATATGATGCTCAGCCAGTGTGAATGTCTTGAAGTAAGACACACAAAAGGGAAGCCATAGGAATAACAGCCATGTATATAATTGCTTTCAGTCCCTTGGGTTGTAAGAATAAGATTTGCAAAAATGGAAAAAAATCTTGTTTTTATCCCACAATAAAATGGAACTGGACTCTTAAAATTACATAATCAGCTACTACAGGTTCAATTTAGGAACTAGAATTGATATAATGCATCTCTGGATATGCAAAAACGAAAAAATCTTGTTTTGGATACAAGTAATGCAAAAAGAAATGATATCTCATTGCTGATGTGGCATGGCACGTGCAACACACCAGTTGAATTGAAAATAGGTCCAGGAGGCAAACCCAAGTGAACATGTGTACTCCCCTGAGTGGACACCAAGTGCATCCTAAATTATTCTGGAGGCAATGAGTTACACTCTTATACCTTAAAAATGATAAAAGACACAAACTCATGATTCTAGTGCAAATTCATTGTTAGTGTTGCCAAATTTCAGGCACTGGTCAACCAAAGGGACTGTGAGGAATTGGAAATAAGTCATGTCAGGGTGTCCTCTCCCACAAGTTTTGTATATTTATACCTGGTATTCTTAGCCTTCCCCTTACTTTTTCTTAATTCCATCTCATTTTGTTTCCATGCCATACTTCTGAGGTTGATCACCCAAATCCAACTGCTGTTTTCCTATGAGTTGTTTTTCATGCCTCAGTACCACTTGTGGTTTTAAGCAGATGTAAACATTTTTATTCCTGTATCAGTTGCATTTCTCTTGAATTCTCATGGATATCACATATTATACTTCAGCAGGTAGCATTACTATCACCAAAATCTAGAAAGAGTTCCATAGAAAATGGGTTCTGGTATCTCTGGGAAGATGAGAAAAAGACTAGTAGATTGAATTTGTTCTGTATAGTTACCAACAATGTGTTATAATATTTTAAGTTGAACATGTGGAAACCATTCTTTCTGATTGCTAGATTCGTATGTATTAAGTCTTGTTTCTTTTTTTTAATAGAAAAAACAATGGAAATTCAAAAGACAGAGCCAGCTGTTATACCCCAACATGTTGAAGCAAAGCCACATGTTGAACACCCAAAAGGAGTCAAGCAATACAATTTCTTCATTACATCCAGTGATAAACATATAAAAGGTTAGTCTTATTTGAATTATGAATAGGTATGATGTAAGACTTTGATTGTCTTTTAAAACATGTATTAAGGGGACCGTTCCAGAAAATGACCACCTTTCCCTACTCATTTCATCTTAAGAAAAATTGTTTGGAGATAACTCATTATTCTTTTAGCATAGTAGAGAGTGTAGAATTCAAGAACATACCGAAGTCATTGAATTTTTCCCATGCTTCACACTGGTGGTGGGGGGGGGGTCACTGGGTGTTTTTAATTTTTGAGGAGGATCATATGTTCGTAAACACACACATAAAGATAAAGAAAATTAATCATCCATATTTAATTGGCCTACATCGACTTTTATATCTAAATGAATAAGATATATGTGTTATCCCTACAAATGGTTTTCTTTGATAATTGTCAATATTAACAGATTGCANAGGAAGAGAAGACACACCTCATAAACAAACGTACGAACAGACAGACAAATTCACGCCCTTCCATAGAATAACAAGAGATAGGTAGAATAGATAGACAATAGATAGATAGATAGAGAAAGAAAACAAGCCACAGAAACAGATATCTCCTCCCAGACAACCTAAGTTCTGAAGGGTATAAATAGTAATGCATTCCAGCGAGTCTTCTCAAGGTACACAACATAGCGGTCACGAAGATTATACCAGAACTGTCATATAATTCAGGATAACATACAGCTCCTTGCACGCACAGGTACGCACACAGGGACAGAGTGAGAGAGAGAGAGAAAGAAAAGGACATACACATCCCTTGTCACCTTCCAGAATGATGGTATTAATATCTTTATCTTGTGGATTGTATTTCATGGCAAAGTGTTAAGAGCTTTTCCTGTTCAAGCGGTATTTGTATTAAGAAAATTATTTTATGAATCAGATTGATAATAAAAAAGTAAGAATAATTATGATGGAAAGGGTGATGATGACGATGTTAATGGTAATGATTTCGTGTATGGAAATGATAATAATGATAATAAGACAGATAATAAGAAGAATATTAAAAGTTCTACCGATTTTAGTGATAATGGTCTGGATAAGAATGAAGATAACAATAGAAGATAGTCATCATGCAATGATTATATTAATGATAACGGTGATGATGATTAAGTAAAAGATAATAATAATGATAGTAATCGATAGGTAAATGATCATAATTATGATCAAATGATAATAGTATCAATGATAGTCTGATACAAATAATGATTATGATAATAGGAATAATAATAAATGATAATAATGGAAATGATAATTGATGATAGTATAATTAAACTATAATGATGATAATAGTAAGGGGACAATAAATAACAACACTAATAATGATAGTACAATAATGAAAATAATGATACTGTTAATAATGATAGGAATAATAAAGTAATGATAATGATAATAAAGATAATAATAACAATAATTATGATTATAAACATGATAATGATGATAATGACAATAAGAACAATGAAAATGATAATGACAAAATATAATAAGATTATGATAATACAATAATGATAATAATTGTAATAATGATAATGATAGTAGTAGTAGTAGTGATGATAATGGTGATGTCAATGCTAATATTGATGAAATCATAATAATCATAGTAATGACAATGATAATGATAAGAAGAACAATAGTGATAATGATGATAAATAATTCTAATTAATTCTAATAATTATTACTAAACTAATAATAAATAATAATGATAAATAATTAAATGATAATAAATAATAATAATAATAATAATAATAATAATAATAAATAATAATAATAATAATAAATAATAAAAATAATTAATAATAATGATAATAGTTATGGTAAGATAATAGTAATGGTCCTTATCTTCAAAATAAGGATAATGCTAATATGAATAATGAAAAACCATATCATATGACGTTTAGCAAAATAAGTAGTAAGAGAAAGAGTATCTATTAGATATCAAAACAGAAGTGATTAAAAGCGAAAATGACAATGGCATGATTAAAAAATACAATAAAAAAGTATAAAAAAGTTTTAAAAAGATATAATGAAGATTCCAGGAAGACAGAAACGAATAACAGAAATGAAGAGAGAAAGTGGAAACCAAGTAATCCTCTTCCCTTCCCTCTCTTTTTTCTCTCTTATTTTCCCTCTCCTCTTCCTCTCCTTCCTTACTACATCCCTCTTTCTTTCTCTCTCTCTTTCTTCCTCTTTCCTCTCCCCTCTTACCTTCCCCTATGCTTTCTCGTCTCCCTTTCTCACTCCCCAAAGGAATGGGGAGTGAAAGCAAGGATCAAAAGAAGAAAGAAACAAGGAAAAAAAATGAAAAAAGAGAAAGTCGATAAAAAAAATAAACAGACTGGAAAGCATGACTGAAGGAATGGGGGAAAGATGTGAATTTATAAACTTTACCTCTTTTTCTTTCTTTTCTAATTCTCTCTGTCTCTCTCCCTCCCTTTCCCCCCTCTCTCCTTTCTCTTTCTCCTCTTTATCTATCTGTCTCTCCCTCTCTTCCTCCCTCTCTACCACTGTGTAAAAACT